AATAGAATCTTAACTGCTGTTTTTGCATTTTTTTTCTGCAGAACTTTTGAATTGAAAAACCTTGGTCAGATAAAAACTGTATACCCGTATGCATATACCTTCAGACAAGAACGAGGTGTTCCAACATATAAACATGGCGTGAAGTCAACTGACTATCAACTGACAATTGACGCTAGTCTCGACAGTACAAGTAATCAGCAAGAGCAAAGACAGAAATTGACATCTAGCAAATTAATACAGAGAAGGAATATATTTGATCATAGTTTAGTGGATATTGTCAAAGTGCACCACAAGGTAGGTGTAGATGGATCAGATTGAATGTCTGTTTAATTGACTAGTCTTTTTAGCTCCGCTGTCGACTTTGTCGAGCGGAGCTTATCATACGAGTGATTTTCAGTTGGCGTCGTCAGTGTCAATGTTTTACTTTTTCGACTTTTTCCTGAAAAGTACAAGCCTGAATGCTTTGATACTTGGTGTATATGTACCTCAAGTACACCACTATCAGATTTCTTCATTTTGTGATATCGTCAATTAATTAATAATTATTTTTGTCTTTTTTGGTAAAAAGTGACATTTTTGACTTGTTAAAAAAACAAACGCAAGTCTGATTTGTGATATTGTTCTTTAATTGAAATGTGCATTGCGAACAGTGGAGCTATCTCACCGACAGGCTGCTTGTTTATTATCTGGCAGTTGCATTACCTTGTTCACACTTGATGATGTACATCAAGTACATGTCAACTTGCTTCATTGATCCTATTCAAGATGGCCTAATGACTGACATTTTAGTGCTAACAATGTTCCATCATCCATTGGATTGATGTAATTTGAATGTGGTATATTGGTGAATATTAAAGTTCGACGCATGCCGGAATCTTGTCCCAAGCAATGGTAACGCGTGCTAAAAATGCAAAGGCTCATGGGTAGAGCTCGTTTGTAAACAATGATACGCTATGGCCATCTGACGCATGTGCAGGCAACAACTTCCCCTGCCTTAAGATAACCTGTTTTTCAGATAGGTTTCAAAGTAACTGCCATTTTGAATTCCTGAAACAAATAGATGTGCTTATGGGTATCCCTTGATTTATATACATGTTATGCCAAATATAATTCTGCTGTTAATGTGGAATGCTACAATAGTATTACAACAAACATAAATAATGCATAACATGTGTTTTGTCAGGATTTCCTGTCCAAGTTGATTCCACCATTGACAGTGCCAGAAGATAAACTAACTAGATGGCATCCAAAATTTCCACTAGACAGAGTACCAGACATTGAGCCGGCTTCATTACCAGAACCACCAAATGTCAAAAAATATTCTTCTGCCAAAGATGTACTTGATAAAGCCAGAGATATGCTAACACCAAGGGTAGGTACTATCCACATCAAGGTGGATTCTGAAAATTAGTGGTTATAATTCATATGAAGTGTAAAATCACACTGACACTTCAAATAAAATGGCTATAAAACGCTGCAAAACTACACCCTGTAAAATGTCTGATAGTATGTACATTGCGTAAATTCAGTCTTAGCATTTTTATCAAATGTCATTTTCGTATTTTTCCATTAGAAGTGCTTCTACTATAGAAGTGCATGTGCACCATTAGCCATTTCAATGTTGAAAATTTTACGAGTGCGTAAATTAGTCTCATTTATATTTTTGGTAGTTGGCTCATGCCTGTGAGAAAATAGTTTGTTTTGATTTGTGCTATGTGCAATACATTTTGTAAAGTAATGGAGAACCTTTTTTATTAAACATTTTGTTTGTGGACTGTAAAATTGACTGATGTCTATTCTACAACCCGAATGATGGCTTTGACCTTCTATGTGATGCCTGAATTGAATGCATATAGTTAAAACTGTTTTTAAAAATATTTTTGTTCGTAGGTGACAGAAGCATTGGAAAAGGTAGCCAAGAAATCAGAGTTGGAGAGAAAGAACAGTAAAGATGCAACCCCTAAAGTGCAATCACCTAACACTACCAAGAATCAGAATACTGCCATAAAAGGTGTTCCACAATCACTGCTAGAAAGAGTAAGTCAGTGTGAATGAAATTTGAGGGGTTAAATTCAAGTTTTAATCCTTTGAACTCGTCTCAACATTTTCACTTAAAATTTTCACAATATACCTGTACAAAGATTTGTACATATCGGTATACTTGATAATGAATTTTACTATATACCTCAACTTTGTCATTGAAAGTACTCTTTTCTTGCTCAAATATTAGGTTGTATTAAATATTGTGAATAATAAAATTATTTGATTCTGTGTTTTTGTTTTCAGATAAGAGCTAAGGAAGCTGCGAAGATGGAAGCTGCTTTAATTCGTGATCCTGCTGAAGATAAGAAGACTGATATGATTGCCAGATTACCAGAGCTCTGCAGAATCCTTAGAGGGTATCCTTTTTACTGCGAGACACCCCTTTTCTCTAAGAGTATGTAACCGGTCTTAATACCGGGTCCCAGGTTTTATCTTTAAGTTCCAAAGAATTTGCTCGGATGCAGTGTAATACAATCAACTCAATGTTTATTATACAACGGCTAACACTGTACTATTGAAAGTACCATAAACCTAGGCAAGTATATGATAAAGGATACACCATTTCAAGTAAACATCCATTGATACTCTATTACAGTATTCTTATTCCATTGCTGGAAATAAATAGTAGGAAATACAGTACACTTATCCGGCATACATAAAGTTCAAACTGGGTGGCCAA